ATTTAATTTAATTTGTCTGTTTACAGATAAAAAATATTAAAGAGATTATTTATAATTCTCTTGATTGATGAATTTTTTCATTTGACGAAATATTTTCTTCAAAAAAATGATAAAGAGAATATAATTAAAAAATAATAATAAATAAATAAAAAAATAAGTATGTGTAAAAATATTATTAATTTTTATATAATATTTATAAATTACGATTTATTTGGATCATCATTGAAGAGACACGATCACTAAATGTTCACTTTATATATGCAGGTGTCACCTTACTGCATCGAAATCAAGCGAAAAAGGTGTTCGCAGGTTTGTGTAGGGCTTGCTAATCTCTCGACGGTTGAAAGCAGTACAGTGAATCTCTTTACTCGTCTCCGTTTCAATCTCCACCCTCGGATTCCTCTCTCTGATGCACACTACATCTGGCACGGCACCAGCAATTTAAACATGTTTTTATCGTGAATATCTATCTTACTGTAAATAAATGCCCTATACCTGCTAAAGAAACCGGCTGCATCGTATAAGATTTGTCGATTTTTCTAGATTCTTGGATTTTCGTGATCTGGATTTTAAATCGAGGATTGGCAACTGATCAATATACAATAATGATTAAAATGAAAGAACTTGTGGAGGATTAATGGATATTTAAGAAGATATTGATTGAAAGAAGAGAATTTGGACTTAATCTTAAGTTACACAAATGATAATTGGGATATAAATGTATCGAATATAAATGTTAATAGAAAAGAAAGTTTTAAATACCAGAGTATTAAATAATTAGGATAATAGATATATTAAATTTAAGAATTAAAAGAAATGAAATATGAAACATTGATTTACAAGAATTTTAATTGAAAGTGATGCATATGTATAAAAATTATTATTAAATAAGAATTGGAATATTAAATGTGTGAAGTAAATTAAAATTGAGTTGATTGAAAAAAAGAATTTAAAATTACAAGAATGTTAATTGGGTACTATTTAATAGTTGCTTGAGCATGTATCAGACATAAATATTTATAAGTTAAATAAGAATGTCTTAATAATAATACTGGCAACAAAGGGTTGAAAATAAAAGAAATAAAATATTTTTACCTTGAAAAAAATTTCTTGAATAATAAGATTGCAAAGATTTCTTAAATAATAACAGGAATTAAAAGGATATTTAACGTTGGAATAAGTCGTAGGCGTGAATAACGTTTGTCTGAAAGTTAAAAATGCGCAAAGCTTTTCTTACATATAATCAACAAAGTGTTCGGTTCACTGTCAAGCGAAAGAGAAGAAAGTTGATTACTGTTTAAATTACAGAGTCGGTTTTTTCCTCGATCATTTCTGCAGGTAGACTCGTTGATAGAACATCTTTAACGAGCGATCATTAAGCACTATCTTTAAGACATCTATAACTGCGAATTGCTTCATCACTGGATATAATCTTAATCAACCGCAATTCCCCTACGTTGTATTTTTAAGGAGGAAAGAATAGACGCCTCTCTATTAACAAATTACTCTTGCACAACGCTTCCAATCTTCGTTGCTCACATAACAATCTATATATTTCTTTGCATACTTTGAATATAATTTTCATACGAAAAATCTGCATTGAAAGATAGCATTTTAAAATATCAAACAATTCGCACAAAGAATAATAATTCTCAAAAATCGCTGACAAATTGATTTCTTAATTTACTTAAATTAAAGCTTACTGTTGATTCAAAACTAAAACCAGGTTGTCATCAGAGATAATTGGAAGAATCAACAATTATCCCTCTAAACCCTAAAGATACCTATATACTCTCAAGGTATTATAACAATATAAAATATACTTCTCAAGTATTATATTAATGTATCTTCTGTATAAATTATAAAATATTATTTAATACATTAAATTTTATATATTAATTAACAATTAGCAATTTGAAACAAATTTATAAAAATTTATAAAAATTTATAAAAATTTCAGAACTTGTTGAAACAAAGAAAAATTAAACTCGCTTCCATTATATAAATTACCTGATTGTATGAATCTGCTTGTCCTCCTGACAGGTACGCATAAATTTCTCTATATACGGAGATGGATTCAAGAAAAAACATTGGATCGGTTATCGCGGAAGACCGAGGTTCTACCCGTTTTGGAAAATGTTCTCGATTCGTTAGAATACCGAGAACTGTCGCATTAACGAGGCCAATAACGGTGCCGGCAGGTGCCACGTGCCAAGTTACATACCACTGTCGCTGTCCATCATCGTTCTTACTTTCTTGCTCTCGAACAGTGCAATATTTTGAATGAAATCTACGTAACATCACACTGGATACCACTGTTGTATCTTCGATGAGAAAGCAGGCCGCGACAAAACGTGACCAACGTAGAGAGTGAGATTAATTTATCGGCGATGTTTTACATTCTGCTGTCGAGATCATATAAAATAACTACTATATTCGACTTAAGCCATTCTTCCTTCTACCTTGCTTGGACCGACTATAACCTCAAAATAATTTTGTTTCAGATAAGATATGGGCGGAAATTATAGATTGGAATTATAATATTAGAATCTCTAATACGTTCATCCCTCTTGGAGTTTATTCAACTTTTGAAAGTCAAGGAATAAAGGAAGAAACTGACATCGCGAATGAATTGATTTGGCTGGCTGTTGTTAATCGGTTTAAAGGCGACGACGAGGAAGCGTGCCACGACCGGATTTTCTCCAACCCCGGTAAAATCAATTTTTTCTGAACGCGTTCGTTGGCCTCCCTTTCCGTTTTTTCATGCGCCGGAGAAGCCGATAGCTCGGGATCACTTCCGTGCCGAGGGTGAACAGCTGCCAAGGGATTTTTCGACGAGGGTTTCCTCGGGCTGCAAAGGAAATGATGGAAAAAACTTTCTATTGCTGCAGATATCGGCGTGAAAAAACATTTACTGAGATGCAAAAAAGGAACAAAAGGGGGGAAAGAAGAAGAAGAAATAGCGTTGAAGAATGCTATGTAAAATTGGAAATCAAGACTTTATGGTCTTGGATTAACGATCAGATAAAGAATGGCGGACGCCATTTCTAAACTTATATTATTTATAACATACTTCCATATAACTATATCTTTAATTAGATTACTTTATCCGAATTACCCACTATTTTCTCCAAAATATCGTAATTTTTAATTTACATCTCGAACTTAATTTCAGTGTCACGCGCAATGCCTGTCGTAACATTATGCGTAAAAAATATTCAACGATCGCGTAAATCATCTCGAAAAAGAGAAATCGCAACGCGATAAGAATACACGGGGACGAGATCATTAGGAAAGAAGTAAACGATGCCCAGCAGCGTGTCTCCCTCCATCAGTCAAATTCGATCACAAGGTACGTATGTCCAGTCACCTGTCACGCGAGACGCGTACGGAGCATGTACTTTAACGTAAATGACCGATAATCGGATCTCGCTCTCGCTACTTTTCCCGAACTTGTCGCGAAGTGACAGGCATTTTTAACGACTGATCCATCCCTGGTCCTCGAGGAGCCAGTTTCACGCTATTATATTGTTATATCGTACCGTGTAATTGCTATTTAATAATACATCAATTTCCACTTAATTGCAGGTTGATGGATCGCAGGTGAACAAGCGTAGTATCTCGAACTGAAATTCTCTCGGTCACGGATAAATTAAAGTGAAAACTATTAATTACAAGGTGGAAGTGTTTTAAACAGTAAAACAAACGAATTATTATCAGTTTCTTTTTTTTTTTTGGGAGGGGGAAATTTTATAGAATTTTGACTATTTTGAAATCTTTGAAGATTTAATTTGATGGAATAAAAATCTATAATAATATGATTTTAATTGCTTTTCGATGAAAGAAAGCGATAAATCTCGAGAAGGAAATTTTAGATAATAAAAGAAAGAATCGAATCGATCAATTTTTGGAAACGTTGAATAGTATAATGATCGATAAAATGATATGTGAAAGTAGAAAAATATAAAAATATATATAAAGAAGGAGAAAGAGTTATCGATTATAAAATTCAAGAATATTTCTCACGGTATTAACGCGTATTTTAAAATTCGACACAGGTTACGCTCATTTGTCGATAAATTGTTAAGTGTTGCTAAATACAGTGTCGCAGCTGTTCCACGGTAGCGCGAGAATTTTTGAGCAAATGGCGTGGCAAGGTAAAACACTCTGTTTATCACGAGTAACTGTTCATTAAACGAACTGATGAATTATTTGCCGATAATGCTTCTTTGAAGTAATCATTCCGAGTTTCATTACTGAATCATTATTAAAGCTTATGATATAGCCGATGGATGCAGATGACCGGAAGCTGATTGATTACTGGCCACAATTCAAATACGTATTCAGGTTACTTGAGCCAATTTCTTTTTTTCCAAGTTTCGCATAATGAAGAGGCGATAATTTGAACGATCAATGATACTTTTTATTTGCGAGTAGAAAAATCGCAAATATTAATCTGTCAGAAAATAATTAATTGCAGATACAATTTTTTAATTTTGCGAAATCATATACGATGCCGCAAAAAAATAATTACTATAACCTCTTTATATTATGTGATAATTAATATAACCTCTTTACATTATGTGATAATTAATATAACCTCTTTACATTATGTGATAATTAATATAACCTCTTTATATTACGTGATAAAATTGTAAAGAATCAAGAACGAATTGTCGAATTGATGGTTATTCGAAAAAAAAAGAAAAAGAAGAAAAATAGATCTAGTTTCTTAAATTAATCTTCTTAAATTAATCGATTACATTTGAAAATCTATACAATTTCATTATCAATCTGTACAATATTGTACATCAGCATCACATACATAAGAGGAAAATTAGATAAAAATTATATTGTTATGAATATGGATTAATAATTAATAACCTAAAATTATTCCAAGAACAGGAGTCAAGAGTTAAAGGAAATATAATTATCTCGCTGTTAAAAATTAAATATTCTTTATAGGAACATGCGATCCAATATAGTTAGATGAAGATCATACGAAAATGAACATAACAAGATCGAGTATTGAACGAGAAGTACGCCGCATAATTAAGTTTCATTGGTAAAGTGAAAGGCTATTATTTGGTAATAAACTGGGCGTCGTAATGATACGAGAACATAACAGTTTCGCGTTTCTTTTAACGCGTATCCCTGGCAAACGACCATCGATAATGGCGCAAACAAACTCGCTCTGATCCTCTGATCAAGCGATTAATTACAAAAGTCGAAGGGGCACGTCGTCGTTGATCCCAAGATGAATGCCAATCTTTTGTGTCTTTTCCATTGTTCGCGCGTATAAACATCCCTAACAGTCTTCAGTGGAGAATCTTTTCATGCGCTTCCCCGTACGAATCTTCTCCCCCCCATCGTGCATATCGTCTTCCTTCTACGCAAACGATCCGATGAAATCGCAACGGTCGTTTCTCGATGATGGAGAATAGGACTAGGTCAACGGAAACGAGCTAGTGGAGAGTCCAGGTATGGATGGGCAGGTGTCGATGCGATTCGAGGACGAAATAAACACGATTTCAGCTTTGATGAAAGGACTTGGCTTTTGGGGAGGCGAAAGTGGCGAATGTCGTGAAGAATTTACGGATTAAGAGAGAATAGAGATTGTTTGGATTAGAAATATCGAGGGATGAAGGGAATGATGAATAAGTTTTTACAATTTTGAAACTGAAAGATTAAGAGAGAGAAAAAAATGGCACTTTTTCAAGGTAAAAATATTCAATGATGTTTAATAATCGTTTAAGAAGCTCTGAAAATATGATTAATGTATTTTCCAATTTTTCCACAGTATAGAAGAAACGTAGTCTTTGAAAAACGTCCCCAAAGTTTATCCCTGAACGCAAATCGATTCGAAACAACGCTCCTTTTGCCACAAGTTAGGTCTGTTGGAGATTAGAAGAGAGAAAAAATGGCACTTTTCCAAGGTAAAAATATTCAAACGTTTAATAATCGTTTAAGAAGTTCGCTTTGAAAATAGGATTAATATATTTTCCAATTTTTTCATAAAATAGAAGAAACTCTTTTTTCAAGATAAAAATATTCAAAGTTTAAGAAGTTCGCTCTGAAAATAGGATTAATATATTTTCCAATTTTTCCACAGAATAGAAGAAACGTAGTCTTTGAAAAACATTCTCAAAGTTTATCCCTGAACGCAAATTGATTTGAAACAATGCTCCTTTTGTCCCAAATCAGGATTGTTAGAAGAGAAAAAAAAATGGCACTTTTCCAAGGTAAAAATATTCAAAGTTTAAGAAGTTCGCTCTGAAAATATGATTAATATATTTTCCAATTTTTCCACAGAATAGAAGAAACGTAGTCTTTGAAAAATGTTCCCAAAGTTTATCCCTGAACGCAAATCGAAACAACGCTCCTTTTGTCCCAAATCAGGATTGTTAGAAGAAAAAAAAAATGGCACTTTTCCAAGGTAAAAATATTCAAAGTTTAAGAAGTTCGCTCTGAAAATATGATTAATATATTTTCCAATTTTTCCACAGAATAGAAGAAACGTAGTCTTTGAAAAACGTCCCCAAAGTTTATCCCTGAACGCAAATCGATTCGAAACAACGCTCCTTTTGCCCCAAGTTAGATCTGTTGCAATTTATTATTAGAAGAGAGAAAAAATGGCACTTTTTCAAGGTAAAAATATTCAAACGTTTAATAATCGTTTAAGAAATTCGCTCTGAAAATACGATTAATATATTTTTCCACAGAATAGAAGAAAGTCTTTGAAAAATGTTTCCAAAGCAGTCTTTGAAAAATGTTTCCAAAGTTTATCCCTGAACGCAAATCGATTTGAAACAATGCTCCTTCTAACGATTATTAAACGTTTGAATATTTTTACCTTGGAAAAGTGCCATTTTTTCTCTCTTTTAATCTTCAACAAACCTAACTTGTGGCAAAAGGAGCGTTGTTTCGAATTAGGACAAATTGTTAGAAGAGAAAAAAAAATGGCACTTTTCCAAAAATATTCAAAGTTTAAGAAGTTCGCTCTGAAAATATGATTAATATATTTTTCAATTTTTCCACAGAATAGAAGAAACATAGTCTTTGAAAAACGTCCCCAAAGTTTATCCCTGAACGCAAATCAAAACAACGCTTCTTTTGCCCCGAGTCAGGACTGTTGGAAACGACCGTTGCGCTGTCAGCAACGATGACGAAGAAGAAGATCAGGGGAAGACAAGAGGTATACGGAGCCCAGACAGTGATTCAAAAGATGCTCGGTACTTTTGGGGTGTCTTGCAGCTGTTCCTCGCCCTCTACCTCCCCGACTTCGGCTAACGCTCGATCATCTTCTTTCTTATCTGCGAGTCGTGCAGAAGCATGAAATTTCGTCAATCTGAGTGCTCGATCGTTGCGTATACATAGAATCTCGAGCATTTGGAGCAAATGCATCCTTTCGTATCCTCTCGTGCATTCGTGATTCACCACGACCGATCTCGAGGTACTTGTCTAGCTTTTCACAATCTGGAAATATGGCCGAAAGGAATAAACGAAGTGTGAACAATTTGCGAAAAGAGTTATGGTGAGTTGAAGAAAGAGGATATGAATTTTCTTATCGATGTAATAACGTTAAACAATATTTTGTGATTTTGTTGTAATATTCGAATTAAATTTTTATTACGCGTTTTCAGAAATATATTTTTATCGCTTCCGATTCATCTCGGCTCCCTCTAAAGAATCGTGGGATTCCACCCAAAAAACAGCCGATATCTACAATCTTCCCTTGCAAAGGTTACATAAGAGTCGTCGAAGGAAGCGGAAAGGGAGGGAGGAATAAGAACGAAGAAATGGCCGCCGGAACGTCGTGAAGAGATTTGGCAAAGGATTCGACAAAGATTCCCAGAGGATCTGAGGAGGGCGCAAGGAGAACGACAGATTGCTGGCTTCGATCGGGACAGCAATCGTAGTAGTTTGCCAGCCGGTCGACTCGTTTCTTTCACTGCCTTTCGTTTACTCCGCTTCACGACTGACTCCTTTCTGTCGGCGAGCTTTCCACCCTGCAAGACCTTCTGGGCCAACAGAAGGCCTACATCTCCTTACTTCTCCACCCGACTATTTCTTCCTTCTTCACACGCTTCTCTTAAAAATTTTTTTCTCTTATATATATATACATAATATATATTATACATAAATTCTCTTCATTTGATTCTTATGTGATTACAAAAGAAAATCATAATTAAGAGAATATGCATACTTGATCAATAATATTGATTATTACCTCTACAGTTTTGCAATGATATTTTCAATCTGTTTTTATCTTATCAATATTGACAATATTATTGATCATATGCCAGCTTCTTAGAATTCACTTGTAAACCTACTGATAAATATATAAATATGCTCGTTATTTTATTTATAGCATACAAATTCTCTTCAAATAACCAACACGCACAATTGACGATTGACAAATTTCTTTCAACCCTTTCTCGCGTATCGATCACTCCCCTGGAAGGAAGGATGTGAGATAGACGATAGAATTACTAGAAGAAGCAAAAAAAAAAAGGAGAAAAATAGGGATAAAAAAAACTTTAGAAATCTCACGTCATAGAAGAGGAGGAGGGTTGAACAACCCTACGGGATCTTCTTTATTAAGCTCTGGAGACTTATTCTTGGTGCCAGACGGCATGCTGTAAAAAAGGGGGAAGACGTCCTGGCAACCCTTTCCCCAGGAAGACGCCAGTCCTAGTTTATGATCTTTCCACTTTCGTTTTCCTGCTTCTATATCCGTACATAGCACGGGAACGTTTCCAAAGTATACGCGATTCGATCGAACTCTTGGAATTGCTAAATGGATTGAAATCATTGACCTTGGTGGGCGAGGCTCCCCGAAGACAACGCCTTGAAGTCGGCACCGCTTCTATGCACGCGAAATAAAATCAAGTCGTGAATTTTAAATCTATATTTTTGAAAGGTAATATTCATTTTATTTTCTTCTTTTTTAATTTTTATTGAATCAGTTTTTATTTTTTTTTTTTTTAATTTTTTGAATCTTTTTCAATTCTTTCTTATTCTTAATCTCTTTTACTTTTTTTTTATTTTATTTATTACTTCTTATTTATTTTATTATCTTTTTTATAAATATTATCTTATTACTTCTTTTTATCTATTTTATTATATTTATATATAATTTTTTGAATCTTTTTCAATTCTTATTCCTAATCTTTTTTACTTCTTTTTTATCTTTTCCTCCTTTTTCTATCTCTTTCATTTTTTTTTTTTTACAGATGTTGCCCGAGTGATTTAAAAATCACGCAAAACACCTGCGTACTCTTCCGGTTGGATATCGGAAGTGAATTTACGAAATCTATTTGCAGAATATTCACCGGCCAACGTCTAGTCTATTCGAAGTTTTCCACGGGCATCAGTTTTCAGGATACCTGTGGAAAAGGTATTCGTCGTTCTCAATTTGCTTTCAACCACAAATAATTCTTTGTTTCCTTTTTTTCTCTGGTGTGTCAAACTTTCATCAAGCTCGTAACTAAAGCTCCATTCTTCTAAAAAAAAAAAAAAAAAAAAAAAAACAAACACTATACCTACACTACAAATCCCTCAAATCTTCTTGATTAAATTTTGCACCCTAAAAACTATATGAGATATAAAAAAAAAAAAAAAAAAAGAAGATATAAAGGATTTCACGATCCATCGATCTCGATGAAAAAAATTCGACACCCGCTACTCGACGTCCACTACTCTTCGAACACTGACAAGTACATTTCATCCCCCAGCCGCCACTCATCCCGAGCCGCGCCCCAATAATCTCCAGAGATTATTTCCGGGACCACGAGAATAGAGAGAAGGCCGTGTCGCAGAAAAAAAAAAAAAAAAAACCTGTACATACGACTTGGACCAACCCAAAAGATGGCACATGCAGAGAGGAGAAAGAGGGCCTCCTCTCTCGTGGCATCTGTTGCATCGTGGTTCGACACCACCACCATCACTGGCCGCACCACCAGAAGGCACCATCACTACCACCGGCCCTGACGACCACCAGGTGCTATCCACCTTCCGTGTCTTTCCCCATCGTCGTCTTCGAAAAAACCTTCTTCTCCCCTCCCCACGTCCCTCGCCATTATTCCCCGAGATTTCCACCATCTGCGTCTCTGCGATCCACCCTTCGCCCCATCTCTCTCCGACATTCGTGATCCACATTGGTTCATCGTCTTCGTTAGAGAAGGAGAAGAAGAGACCTCTGCCAAACCACCTTCTGCGAGAGGGTAATTGTGACTGGGATGATTTCTTGTGTCCGGGAGGTGGATGGGGTGGAAACGGACTGAAGCTTGATGGATGCTGTCTGAAGAATATGTAATAGGATGGGGAAGAGTCTAAGAGGTTTACTTGACACGGAAGAAGTAATATCTGTGAATTATTTTTCAAATGTGTTTGTTGTATGTATATCATTTCTATGTTCTATCCATTTGTTTTAGATCAGATAAATTGGAAAGATAATATTGGTGATAAAATTTTACAAGTCACAGTGATAAGTTTCCTTGCTTAATAATAGCAAGAGGTAGAGAATCACAGGTAAATTACCAAAGAGGTAAATTTAATTATAATTTGTCATAACTTCTAAATTATGTCATTTATATTCTCTATAAATAAAATAAGCATATTAAAATTAGATTTTAAGAATAAAGAATCCAATTTCTAATATGTATTCTCTATTTCCTAAATTCTTGTTGTCCGTTGATTTTTTATTTCAGCCGTCATAAATGAAGGGAGAGAGGAAGAAACTGAGAGAAATTTTCTTATTCTCAACCGCCGTCGCCGCCAACCGGTTCGTCCATTTCATTCGAGTTTTCAAAGTTTTCTCCGCCGTTAATGGGACTGACTGTTGTATTGCGAAAAGAAAAGGTGACGGAGGGAGCGATGGAAGGAAGGAAGAGGAGAATGGCATGGCACCGTGCATTCTTCGTAGACTGGGTACACAGGTATGTGGCCCATTGTGATTACGTCTCCGCGTGAAACCAAGTATGCAGATTCCCCTTCCTCCGCCGACTTTGCGCTCCAGCACACCTGATGAACGTATTCTTCCAGAGACACGCGATGTTTCGAGGACTCCATCGAGAAATATCGATCCTGCTATGTCCATTGACCTGGGCTAAGTGTTTCGTCGAGGATTGCGTTGCTTAGAAGAATCATGATAACACTCTACTTTATATCTTGATCAAAAAAAAAAAATTTTAAAAAGAAAAGTATGATATACACATTCGTTAACTTAATAATAAATTAATAAAATGCAGTTTACTTCAAACTTTGTCACAAGATAATCCGGTCAATATGTATATTGAGACATTAATCGTTCAATTTAGATTATGTAAAGTAACAACCGGTTACTTTGTTGAGTAATTATTAGTTTGAAAAGTTAGATATCACGTTGGAATGGCTTGAAGGCAGATAATGCCAGAAATAACGACTTGTAGTGATACACTTGAGCGTTACTAAACGGCAACCGCTAAGCGTGACGTGCATACGAATTATTCTATATACCCGTAATTGCGGGCATAGAATCGTTGGAAACGGTTCATCGGTAATGATCATCGTTTTTAACCGTTCACTTCGTCTAGCTTATTTATCCAACGATAACATAATTGTTGCCCGGTTAGTAGATACGTAATTATCTTGCTCTTGGCCCCATCGTGCAATTATTTATTGCGTGATACCTGTCGACCGGAGGAACAGGTTGCCACAGCTTGGGAATTCGTTGTGTAGGCATTCGATTTCCGTGATATTCTCGTTTATTAGATTATTCACAAATTTCATCAATTTATTTCAAAACCTAATATTATCAATCAAATTAAATATTTTTTTATCTTTCTACATCATAAAATTGTATATACAATTTTTTAGAAACTTATTTTTAGAAACTTATCAAAGATTATCATGATTAACATTATCTATTGTAACATAAAAATCGCTGTTCAAAAATATTTCCAATATATTACAATTTTTAATATAGCGTAATTTCAAAATCAAAGCGTCTTAATAATTCGTATTACAATACGTGCTGGATGTATACATTATCATCTTGTGGTAACCGAAAATATATAAGAACAAGCAAACAGTGGAGTTGAGTGGAGGCAATTTCGCATGGCAACAATTGCACCCCTCCGATGTGTAACCCCGTGTTCGCGAAAAAGGCGAGAACGAACGCGAGCATCCTCTTTATAACTGCACCTAAAAAATTTCTGCTTTCACAGCTGCTGGCTCCGCTGCGTGTGCCATTCGAAAGTTGTTTATACTTTCGCGGCGGCGAATGCATGCATTATCACGAGTGGCTGGGAGGAGCACGCGGATGAACGTAGTCCGAAGGGTATATACGCCCGGTTGCGGGACAACTTTCGTAATAGTAGCGTGTAAGTATCGTTCAGTTTGCGCAGGTGATGCAACCGACCCATCCAGGCCAGATATCGTGCAGAAAAGGAACAGATTGTGCCTGTGGTGGCCAGCCAATGCCGCATTCTGCCGCGATTATCGATCCCGCATTGTATTCGTGCCGATCGGATGTTTGACACCGAGCACGATTATTTGTGTAAGGCGATAATAGCTGTTCAGCAATTGCGTGTCACTGTTTCGAGGGAAAAAAATATCTTTAGAGGATAGAGATATTAACCCTCTAATGGCTTTGATATTATTATGATCGTTGACCGATTGATAACGACTTTTTTGAATCGTTCATGATACACGATACTGATCTGAAAATTATTGTGTTTATAAATGTTAATGAAAATTGTAAATCTGGATATTACGATGTATTAATTTTTTTCTAATAAAATATCGTTAAGAGAATACTTGAGAAAAGAAAAATAATTTTATGAGACTGCTACAAGACGATTTATAAAGATTGATCGATAAAATGGAAGGCGAAATCTGTAGAGAAGGAGTTTGCTCAGGCGAAACTCTTCGTGGCTAATTAATCGTGAACGCGAAATACCTTTGTTGCGAATATCGAGAAATCGATTCGGTTGTGCACCGGTCGTACTTTCTACGTTGTTTAGAAGCGATTCACTTTGCCACCACTTTCATTTCCACCGATTAATTTCTTGTCTTATTTATTTATTTTTTTTTTTTGTTTAAAATCGTATATCTTTTAAATAATTATTATATCTTTTAAATAATTTTTGACCCAATTTTTTTATTTCCAATCTTTCAGCTTAAAAAATCAATTCTTTTATTTTATTTTCTTTAAACACATCGTGAAAATCTAACAGATGCGCAATCCAGCGTGGCTAATGAATTTTATGAGCGTTCCATTGTATTTTAGAGAGTCTGGATCTCTCGTCCGCGAAGCTGTTTCCTGTAACCAGTTAAGACTGCACGAAATTAATCAATTACGAACTAAAACAGCTTTTCTGCCACGGTACATCTACCTCTGGTACACTGTTCACTATGCTTCACTTCTCTTCCTTCATGCTCCAATTCGTCCATTCGTTCGTTCGTTCCGTGGATAACAGAAGTTACCGGAATTTAATAGTCCGTTGATTCGAAACGTACAACCATTGGCCACTGTGGAAATATTCCATGTGAAATTACAGCATGCGTGTCCTAATATCGTCATACTAGATACGTGAATATGCAATTCGTTAAATCTAGTGATAATAATTCTAGTAATATTTAAAGTCACTAGGCATCAGTAATGATGAAATAATTTTGGTATAGATAATTTTTTTAATTTTGAAGCAGATTCGTTTTACGATTAAATATTTATAATGATACAATGCACAAAGTTTCATTATACATTCATACATGAAAATATAAAATTACTGAATCGTACCAAAATTTCACCATCACTAGTGACCTCTAAGCAAGTTACCAGTCGTAGTGTTTCGTAAAAAATTTTATCTTTTCTTTTTTTTTCAATAATAATAAAGATTTATAAGATGTTTTTAACAAAATGAAAATTATAGATAAAGAAGAAAGGAAAAGATAAAAGCAATTGATATACAAGTCATATCAGCCGCGATCAATTTATTGCAATCTAATTAATATAACCTAGTAGCACTATTTTTAATTATCGCCGCTTTCGCGATAGAGATCGTTACACTTTCGCTTGTTTTCAAAATTCCGATCAGATTCGATGAACAACCAATTATAAAATTGTTATGAGCAATTGCAAAATATCTTACGAGGAAATAAATGTTTAATAAAGTGAGAATGGTTGAATGTAGAGAAGAAAACAAAATAACACCGTTCACTGCGAAATTTTTACGATATTATATTCCTTACTCGCTTTCCAATCCGATCGTTCGAATTCGATTCGAAAAAATGAATGGTGGAACGAGGCGTCAGCTGTCTATATCTGCAAAAGTTCTATTAGAGGTTCAAAAAGGGTAAAATAAGAGAGGACAGAAAATAGAGAAAGGAGAAAAAAAATAAAGATGGATGGAAGAGAAAAGAAAAGAGGAAAGGAAAAGGTGTGTAGTTCGCGGATTCAAGCTGCACGGACACCAGAAACGTCCCACGGTTTTCGAGGTTCAGCAGGGTTAAAAGGAATTACATTATCGTGAAGCGTTTGGGCGTGGGAGACCTGAACCCTGTTTCTCGAGGATCCGGCTGTGATGCACCCGTTGCACCCGCGACCTACCTTCTGTACTTCCTCTATGGCCTGCGTCGATCCTTTATTTTTTCATCCACTCCCGAAAGGAAGGATCCTGATGCGGTATTGTGAAGACGATTTTTTGGAGGATTAAGTAAGATGACTGTGTGGATATGAATAGTATGTAACGGGATCGAAGGAAATTTCAAACGATAAAGAAGAAATGGATGATTCGTACATTGTTTTGGAAATATAGGTCAATATCTCGAAATTATAAATATGTTTTTAAATTATTGTAAAAATTTTTTTTTTTAATTGTTACAATTTTTAATTTTTAATTTTACAGTTCAGGTAAACACTATGCGTGTATCACGAACGATTAAGAAAAGAGAATTACAAAGTGGATGTATTAACTTTAATTAAACTGTCCATAAGATTAATATCACGTATATTCAGGCTTCAATATTAATAATATAATTGATATAACCAAGAAACAACATCGATATATTAAACTAAATATATTAATACTATTAAAAGATAAATTACACGAAAGATATCGCAAAACTTTTTCCTCATTTATCTTTGATAGAACGTATTAATCTGACATAATCTCTCGGCTCTATATCTTTCCAGGTTCCACTGTTTGGTAGCCATCAGCTTCTAAAGGGAGACAGATGAGGTGGACCACTGGCAGGTAGCCGGTGTATGTGGTGCAGCAGGTGAGCAGTAGGTCAACTCGGCTCACATGTACATTTATATGCGTGTCCGATGCTCGATACAAGAAAGTTCTTTGTCTCGATGAAAATGTATCGTGTGAAATCAGAAAATTCATAAACTGGGATAAAGATTTTTTAAATGAGTTTTTATAAGGAAAAAATCATAGATCAAAAGTCAAGGTCATTCAAGATTATACAAGTTTATACAAGATCAATTCATCGAGAAACATCCTATTGGAGAATTTTTTTCAATATTCATTTTTATCGTCATTCAGCTAAAACTGTCTCCTCTTCAATTATTATACAATATATACAGTAATGCAGATTCACTGTACTTTAAGGTAAAACTATAACATTATCTTTTAATATAATCAGTTATTTCCAAACGATTCCAACTCTTTTGATTTCATCACCCACAAACAAATAATAAATGCATGTATCATCAATTACTCAATGTCTAAACAAAATATGTTTCTTCTAGGCTCTCATCAAAATTCTTGGAAAATTGCAAGAAACTCGATACCAAGCAAAAAGAACTTTATCGACCGTTCGAAATGATTCGAGTTTTCGATGTACAGCCGGTACATACATACTCACACAGAGTTAGGAGTCAGGTAGTAAGGTGGGTAGGTGGTGGGTAGGTAGGTGCATACGCGTAGCGTGGGAAGGTCCGGCAGCTGAGAGCAGAAGGGGCCCCAAAAAGCGGCTGCAGCTTCTTCTTCTTGCCTGTTGCTGCCGCTGCCCTCTGCCTCGGCCCTTCCTCACCCGTGGGACCTGCCCACTTCTTCTTCTTCTTCTGGATATACGACCCCTCGACCGAACCATTCAGATGCCCGTGAACGCGACTTTTCCGCTTTCCTTCTTTGCCTGTATACGACCTCTCTTAATTCTCAGCTGTGCCAGGACCGGTGTCTTATCGAATATCGTGTAAGTATACAAACTGTCGTTCAATGATCGATTTGGAAAGTTTGCAAAGTCAATGCTAAAATGGGAATTTTGAAAAAAAAAAAATTTTTGAAGTTGATTTGATTTTTTTCTTTAAGGATGAAAAGAATTTTAGAATTTTGATAATAATGGATCGTTTGGATTCAATGAAAATTCTTTAAATGTGAAAGTTAATTTTTTAAGGAAGAATAATAATTTTTATAGAAGATAGCAAAGAAAATAGCATAGAATTTTAAAATCCAAAAAAAGGAAATTTAATTTCCCAATAAATCACTAATTAACTTTTCATTTAATCATTTCTTTAATTCGACGCATCATAGAATTAATGAAAATAAATATTTGAAGCGTAAACTCGAATCAAGACGTTGAGAATCTTTTCTTTCAGAGTACGTATAACGTTGAGACATGGGAAGGTAGTTTCCACGGTGATTCCCAATCGCGGATGCAAGACGTCGCGACGACAAGGACAACGATAACCACGACGACATCCTGTCCCTTGAATTGAAAGGACGGAGTATTCGGTGAAGGTCTTATTATTAATTGTTCGAGTTCCTGCTCAAACACTGGAGATTAAATCCGGGAGGAACTAATCCGGCACGTAGTGCCTCTTTATTCCGTCTGTCCCACGTAGAGAGAAGCCTCTCTCACACACACACACACACACACTCGTCTCTATAGATGTTACGTCCAAGGTACGGTAGATATATCGAGCTCTCTGTGAATCGTAAATACACGTATATACACTCTGTCCCTCTATGTGTCTTCGTGAGAATAAATACACTACGAATCTTCGTGAATGAAATTTTAACCCTTGAATCGCGTTCTCTACCTGGAATATCTTCTTTTTTTTTTATTTTTATTCTTCTTCTTTTTCTTTTCTTTTTCTTTTTTTTTTTTTTTTTTTTTTTTTGTTTAAGGAGCTTCAAGTTCATTGTAAAACACCGCGAGAATGTTAATCGAGGGCAATGAAGGATAAGTATAATGAGAATAGGTTAAGAACTATCCTGTGTTCTTAAATATTATTTTAAATATTTAATATATATAGATGTAAATGAAATTGGAATTTTTATTTCATTACATTCTTAAGAAATATTAATTTCTGATTAAAAATATCTCCAAAACAGGATTATTTTAATCGAAATCAAGATAACCTCGAAGATAACCTCAAAATTTACCAAAACAATAATAACCAACATACCAGATGCCAACGTAAAGAAGCGAGAAGATTTTGAGGTTCGTAGGGAATATAATCCAGGCGCCCTGGATCTGAAATCAAGGTACCAATATCAAAATTTCCTATCTTCCACCCTAAACGCCTCCCGGCCGTTCGTGGGCGTGGAATCGGCCACCCATCTGACGATCGATCCCCGCGGGTTCTGCCTACCTAAAACACTCCGTTCCACAGATTGGAGCCTTGGATCGCAGCCTTGGATGCTGTCCACTTAGATAAGGATAGCCCCTGGAGAAGGAAGGAATCGAAACAAGGGGGTTCACCGACAGCAGGCCAGTTATTCGCGCGCCAGAAGGTAGCTCTCGAAAATTTACTTTGGGCCGAAGTTGGAAAGAGGGAGAAGATTGAAAGTGGTTGAAAGGAGACGGAGGAATCGGCGAAGAAAAGGAAAGAGGAGAGATGAGAGTTGGCCGATGGAATCGGCGGCTTCGAGAGCCAGATGCAGGATCCGCAGACGGAACGGAAGGAAGCATTTTTTTATTATATTTGTTGCGGCCCTGAAGCTAGTGTAAAACAAGAGATACAAGGAGTTTTTACGAACGTGAGAAGGTCGTTTCTGTGGGTGCACATCATTGATCAAAAATTGAAAATCGCTAATTGTAGATCCCGTAGAGTGTAAGAATTTTGTAGAAAAAAGAATTGTAAAAGGATACAATCTCTAAAAAAAAAAATCTCTTTTTCTTCGAATGAAATATTTCTTCGACAACTAGTGACATCTAGAATAGAGAGAGGAAGTCTCAAATCTATCTTCCAAATTGCATTTCTAAAATTGAAATTTATATTTTGCGGGATGCTATTTGGAAACCTTGTTCTTTAATCCAAAAAATTAGACAAATGCAAATAGGAAAAGAAAATAATATTTTTGATCAATAATGTACGCGTACGAGTTGAGAACAAGAGGGAGGCTGATGACACTTTTCCGCATTCGAGTTCAGAATCGCGGCTTGCTGCGCTATAATCTCTGTACGTAAACAGGGTTGTATTTTAAAACTGGATTTTTATTCTGGTTTTCGAGTTCCACGCGTCGTTTCCTTGAGAGCAAGAGCCGGAACAGGACAGGAAAGGAGAGAGAATTTTTGCATGGTCGGCTATACTGTTTCGAACGTTCCAACGAACCGGATGTTATGAATGCTCATGCTCTTTTTACTCTCTCGTGCTTTCATTCAAACTGATGCTTTTCAATGGCCCTGTTCTCTCTTGTCACCGTCACTTGTTCGTGTGATGTTTCTCGGCAAGAGATGGAATTGTTTCGAGAACGACTATTTTTTAAAAAAGCAAATTATAATAGAAGAATTTTATATATATATATATATATATATTTAATACATTTGTTCAAAAAAATATTATTATTATTCTCAATTTGCAATTCCGGAAGAAATTTAAACAACATTTAAACGAAGACTCGTATTTCAAATTATATCTTGTAACAGAGAAATAGTAAAAATTAAGATAACATATCTGCTCGAGCTTGCACAAATAGGCCATAAATAACCACGCTAAATTTTCTCCTTACATAATGTTATCCAGAAACTTCAGGTAAAAAGATAAAGCAGAAAAATACGTCCATAAAGAAACCAAAAAAAAAAAAAGGGGAACGGAAAGGCGTCATTTTCGTATATCTCGTAGCCCGCTTAATTCGCATAATCGCTTGCAATTCGGAAAATAACGTGAATAAATATATTACAGAAGGCTGGAAGTGGAAAAGAAGAGGAAAGAAAGTATTTCGAGAACACGATGGCGAGAACGAGGAAGGATCGAAGATGGAGGAACGATAGACGAAGAAAATATTATGGTGGGAATGGAAGAAGGGAGAGGAAGAACGAGGGGATAGAGTGGGCGGAAGTGGCCCGTACAGGGAGGCTGCAACCACCTTGGCTTCCGCCACATTGAGGGCCACCGATACAACACACAACCACCTTGTGTTTTTCATCCTTCTCCCAGTGGTCCCTCACACGTGTTGCTTACCATCCTCTCAAAGAAACGTGTATTCCATTCCGCTTCTGCGAAACAGGGGCCTAAAATAAGTGGTCCTCTCGTCCATCGCGATCCCATTTCCTTCCTTGTTTTTCTTCCCTCCGCACGCCTCGCCAATTCCTCTTTCACTTCCTCTTCAAACGCTTCTTCCGCCTTCCGCTCCTTCCTCTGCTCTTCTCGTTCCTTTCTTTCTATGAAAAAAAAAAAAAAATAATGCTTGCATTATTACATTATTTGTTGAATCTCTAAATGTTCTTCTTGCTTCTCTATTCTTGGAGAATTTTCTTGCCATGATAATAAATAATCATATCATCAGTGAATTATTTCACTGTTTCTCTTTAATGGATTGGATTAATCTTGAGCTTGTCTCTCTTGAAAAATTTTATAATTCAGTATATTGTTATTTTGGAATATGTATAGATGATGAATAAGTACAGATGATTGTTCTTTTGAAGCTTGGAAACGAAGAGATTCTTTGTATTTTTGCCTATCTTTTTATTATTTTTCTTGATCTTTTGTGTACCTTTTCTTTTTCTTCTTCCTCTTCTTTCTGTTCCTCCCTGATGGTAAAGGGGTGATTGCGATATTGAATTTGAATTTAATAAATCCGTGAATAACCATCGTCCTCCATTTTCTTTCTTTTTTTTAGCGACATCTGTCTGCTTCCTCCTTGAACGTTTCCTCCTTTCTTCTGGAACATCTTGCGGCTATTCATGGAAACACCAAAGCACCATTGTGACGACTTCATCTTCTTCTTTCAAACTTTTCTTTCCTATATAAGTAAAAAAAAAAGGTCCAAGTCCTATATTCTTTAAAATTTTTCATCAAAAAAAAAAAGGATGCACTTAAAAAATTTCTACGACTTTCAATGAATTATCGTATTGCCCTACGATTGAAAATCCTGAAAAATTTAAGTCGAGACGAGTTATTAAAATTGAAGAAACATCGACGACCCACCCACGAAGTGGGTTGTGTTGGCGCGAACTGAAATTAATTAAGGGAGGGGGTGAGCAGGGTTAAATTAAAATTCGGGCTGACGAATGGTCAGGGGGTGGATAACTCGAAGGGTCAGTCTGCAGCTGACAAGATAATCGTCGTGAGCTACGTCAGTTGGTCAATTTCGCTAAATGGATGAATGCAACCTAATGAAGCGAGAAGACGGATCACTTCTACGCCTTATTTATCTTCATTGCTTAAACATTGCCAGTTGATCAATTTTCTGGCTGGAAAGTCTTCTTCTGATATTAATTACATCTCTAAACAAACGAAATTCATTCCTTTTTCAGTATATCTTCACTATGTATTTTTATATATATTGTAAAATACAATAATTATAATTTGCACGTATAATTTTTTATCTCGTATTCTTCCTCTTTTGAAAAAATTCTTTTCAATTTTCTTAAACATCTTCAATGTTGTTATACGAAGAAAGAAAAGAAATTTCAAATGAGCAAATAATTAATCGGTAAAAATGCGTAACGTGTCGCTGGACGCGTCGTGCAAATACGTGAAATCGTATCCGATGACGGTGTCATTAGGTATGACCACCGTCACACTTTTCCAAAGTACGGTGGTTTCGAGGTAAACGGCCCTTTTACCATTTCCATTGTCCATGTACAAGCCTCTTACTCTGTACAGTTATACTCGAAGATTCCCTGCACTGCAACTTTTCACTCGATGGATAATTGGTAATCGATTGGTTAATCCTTGAAAGAGAAACACTGTCTGTCAGATTGTCAATTAAATTACGTAATTGTAAAAAGGTCTTACTCGTATGTTCGAATAATCGTCGGATGATTAATTTAATCATCGAAAGATAGCAATGGCTAAGTCACGGAGTAGCACTCGTTGAATCTCTAATCGATAATGAATCATTATCTTGGAATCACTGTGAAGTCAGCTTCGTATTCGTGTCTGTATTTCAATAAACTCGGGATTATTCGCTAGAATAATGCAAATATCTGGAATAGAAAAGGAACGAACGGAATAAAATTTCGAAGAAGCTTTAACGACCTCGAAATAGCCACATATATATATATATGTATATATTAGGTCGATGAACTCGTCTCGAAGTAGAACGCCTAACCTAAAAAAGAAAAAAACAGGTGTAATCGAAAAGAACACATTTTTAAATTCTCCAATTCACTATTTTTAGAAAACAATTGCAACAATTATCCTTAACCTCGTCACGTTACCGCGTACGTATCGCACGTCTAATCGAAACCCAGGCAAATTCGATTCAAATTCAATCGATTGGTGGCGAGCGATCGAAGTGGCGGCGTTGGCGGCGTGTCGAAAAGGAAGAAGAATAAGGAAAGAGGAGGAAAGAGAGAGAGAGAGAGAGAGAGAGAGAGAAGAAAAGAGAAGCGGCAGGTGTATCGTCGGAATAATTTCAAAAATCACGGAACCGAGTAGGAGAGGAAAGGTTGCGCGCGTTCCACGTCGATCGCGCTTTGGTGAGTTGCGGCGGTTGCCGGTGATTAAAGCGACAAGAAGAAGAGAAGAAAAGGAGAGAGAGAAAGACACGTTTCTTTACCATAACAATGGCAGGCAGGGTTCGTCATAGCCGTAAGCGCGCGTATTGTTCCACGTTTTCCCACACGCGGCTCCTACGTGACGCGAATTCATCGCGCTAATGGCACCGCGTATATACTTACGCGCGACGCGTGAGCCGCACGAAACGCAACCACGTCGACCGCCCCGTGATTTATCGTGGCTCTTACGCCGAGTCACCTGGAAACCAACATACGAACGAATTAATATGGAATCGCATGGTATACGTGTATACTTTGCAGACTGATTCGCTGCGTGGGGAAGCGTCCCACCGCGTGCAATCGATTTCGCGAATTTTTCGAAAAACATTTTCCCGCGAGATCGTTGCGCACCGACTGGGAATTGGATATTCGAACGAAACGTGTCTCAAATAAGAGATTTTTTTTTTTTTTTTATCAAAAAAGAAGGGAAAAAATTTTGTGCTTTACTTGTTATTCGTAATTTTTTTTTTTTTTTTTTTTTAAGGAAAACGCGTGTTGAAATTTAAGATTTTTTTTTTTTTCTTGTTTTAGATTCAGACAGATTTCGCTTTTCAAAGCCATTTGAAAGAAGTTGCGGAGGATGGAAGAAAAAGAGTCCTCGGCAATAGGTTAATCTACCGAATCTTGTTTCTCTTGATCGAGTGAAAGAAGGTATTGTGACAGTGGTTGGATGGTCGCCCGGCTGGAATAATGGTGGGACGCGGTCCGTCTCAAAATCCACGTGTACCACCGATTCGTGACGGCTATTTTTCTCCATCACTCGTTTCTACACCGAGTGTAGGTAAATGGAAATCACCACCGTTCGGTTCACCGAAAATTCATCGTGTTCCTTCCTAAAAAAAAAAAAAAAAAAAAAAAGAAAAAAAATAATGCCCAACCTGTGTTCCCTTGGCTCTCGTCGAGGAATGCTGCGGTTGCCTTGTTCCCTCTCCTCTCTTCTCTCCTCCCTATTCGAATACATTACAAATTCGGTATTTTCGGGGGAAATCTTGAACGAAATCAAAAAATGTCGAGAGAGATTCTGAGGAGAATTCTGAAAGATTCGAACGGACGATTAAATTTTACCAACGAAGATTATTCTTTTTTCTTGGAGAAGACGAACAAGAAGAAGAACGAAATCTTTACCTCTTCAAGGTGACGAAAAGAATCATCCCGATCATTAATCAAATTATATATAACATTGTGCTCATCCTAACCTTCGGTCAGAGACGCGCAGAGGAAGAAGCAGAAGAGAGAAAGAGAAGGCGCACAATGGCCACGACCATCGAGTGGAGGGAGAGAGGAAGATAGGAAAAGCGGATAGGCATCATTTGCATCTGACGTTATTACCTGGGTCGTAAACGGTCGTGGAGGAGATGGCTCGCGAGGAAAGAGCAGCATCTGCGCTCCCCTCGCTTTTCATTTCGTCGTGAAGTGAAATGGAGCCGAAGGAAAAACGCACGTCTCCGTACCGGTTGAAGAGAGAAGGAAGAAGGCAAGGAGGAGAGTCTGGCGAGTTCTGTTCAAAAAAACTCAACTCGAAAACTCGTGAAGAGGATTTCGATAGACGGGAGGGGGGAGCATCGATACTCGATCTTAGTAGTGAATCCTCTCCTTTTTCTTTTTCCTACTTCGAAAAGCAGCTGGTTGCTTGCCCAGAAGATCATTGGAAATTAATAGGCCTCTACAGAGTGACCGCACAGAAGGGAGGCGATCCATGCGTGTAACGGGTTGAAAGGACGCCTTGCCCGAAAGATTCCTTTCCTTCTCTCCCCCCCTCCTCCTCCCTCGGGGATCGGTGCATCGGGGGGGGGGGAAAAAAATCGGGCAGAAGGAATTTTGCTGAAGGTACAGCTGGGGACCAGTATCCCACCAGTGTCCACAGTTATTTCTTTGTTTTAACCTCCATTCCCTTAATCGTCGAATTGGCTTTTGTTTTCGGCCACGCAGGCGTCCTTTGATCATCGATGGGACCAATGCAGCTCAAGTCAATCCATCTCGTTCCCTATCCCTCTTCTTTTCGATAATTGGTGAAAGATTAGAGGTTTAAGTTGTTAAATCTGCTCGATTAGTTTTCACCGTTTTAAACTCGCGTAATATTGGAGTATAGAGCGCTTTACACTCGATTCACATTCGTTATATACGATGATTTATTTATACCAGGTGAAATTGATAATAACTAATCCAAGGAAATCGAGAGTGCGTGTAAAGACGAAGTAACTAAAACAAAAATAAAAAAGCTTTTACGTGCTTTAAAGCTTTAACGATCATCTGCTTACAATTAACGAAAGAAATATTACGAAAAAAAAAAGATGAAGAGTTTACGAATCATATCTCTCTCTAGAGTAACGGTACAGCCACTATTTACAGAAATTTCCACCTCCCTTTAGGGCGACCAAGATCGATCGATCTATCGATCGCAAGATAAAGAAAACTACTCGATCGAGCCTTCCGAGAGACTCGGAACCACGAGCTTTCGTGACCTTTCCAGGACCACAGAAAGTGGCGTTCGCGAGTTATTTGTTTAGGAAGCCGGGCGAGGAAACGAGGCCGCGCGAGGAAGGAAGAAGGAAAGGGAGAAATGGGGCGGAAGGAAGAAGGAAAGAAGAAAGGAGGCCCGCGACGGGGAG